TGCGGGTTCATTAAAAATCGAAATGAAATCATATTCAAAATCCTTAAAAAGTCTCCGACAGAGTTTTTGAATGACTAAAAGAATTTGACAAATGACTGACACAGTTGTACGAATGAAGAATGCACTGAAATCGAACAAAATAGTAAATCGGATGTTGCACCCATTCACTTATGGTTTATGCGGTACACCAAGAAAATGAGTGCGGTCGAAATTAAAGTATTTTTCTTCCTCCTGAGACCAGACTCTCACGAGGTTTGAAGATCTCTTCGTGATATTTGATGTGGATGGAAGAGTAGAAATGATTTTCTATCCGAGGTTCTCAGACTGATCTATAAGGGATGCATGGGCACCCGCAGGGGGGGGCAAGGGTAGCACTCCCCCCCCCTGGATTGATTGGATAAAATTTATTTAGACAAAAATAGACAAAAAATGTATTAAAGTAAAGAGAAAATAAAGAGAAAGTAACGAAGCTGATGTCCTGTCCGTTCGTTCACCATACAAATACGCTACAGTAAATTAAAACTATATTAAAACATTACTAAAATTTTTTTGAAACTTAGTCAATTAATTTTTTTTTTGCCCCCCCCCCCCCTAGAAAGTCTTCTGCGGGCGCCCATGAAGGGATGCTTGTTTACTTGCATTGAGCAAGGGCTCTCAATATTTGATCTTGTACAAAGAACCTATGCCTATATTTGTGGTTTGCAGTTAATTGATGTATTGAAATCACCGACGCTCGTAACTATTACAGCGGTTCTTACTTTTATGTAAATCTCATATCATGAACCCTGGATTTGCTAAAACATTATCAATTTCATCCATATATCTGGCGTTTCATCTTCCATTTCAACTTTAACTCCCACTTACTATGATTTTTTTTTTAAGCTCGTTTGTAGTAGCCATCTTTTTATTTTTTTCCCTTGAAGCTGGCATAGACTATTATCAAACTGAATAATTACTGAAATTATCCGGAACCCCTTCGACTGTCGACTTCTGGCTGGATATCTGAACATTTATTTGTTCATTTTTGATACCCCTCTAACTACCAGCTAGAACAACGTAATTGTACCACTTTGAGTTGAGAATCACTGTTGAAACAAGATTTGGCCGGCTTACACGAACTCAGTCTAATGAAACATCGTGTAACAAATGACAGGAACTTTTTCTATACAACAAATACTTTTTTCAACATAACAGGAATTTTTTAAAAATATAATCACAGGAAAGTAAGTGATTGTATTGAACTTTAAAAGAGAAGTTTTAAATTGAATATTCGTCATTTGCATAACAATAAATAATGTCGCTGGTGCGTTAATTTTTATACAACAAATTTTTATATGAAAATTTTTCATACACTTTCAACTGAACACACCAATAATGTTGAAATAAAATCAACATAACAATACGATTGGTGTTAAGTCAACATAAAACTACTGTTGCTATAAATTCAACATAAAAATACGGTTGAAATAAAATCAACTTACCAATACGATTGAACTGAATTTAAAATTAAAAAAAAAAATACTGTTGATTGATATAAATTCAACTCAGGCCATTCGTTAAAGCAACACAATTAAAAGCTTTACAGGACATCTAGAAAAGAAACGAGTAAACAATTACCCGTAGTTATTTGAAAAAAAAATTTTTTGTGCATTTGATTCCTCCAACTCTTTGCATTAAGCAAGGGCTCTCAAGATTTTTACAATTTTCTTTACTTCGCTTCTGTCTGTTTTTTTCGCCCACTCCTATTCCCCCCCCCCCTTTTTTTTAGGTAGGATATCTGTAGATATATATTTTATACATTTAATTTATACTCATTTGTCTTTTTGTTGTACTGATGAAGGCATGTGCCGAAACGTATACTTTTGTATTCTGTAAAATAATCATTAAAGCTTACCTTATATTGTTATATTGACACAAATTGCTGGTGTCTAATTTATCTATTCTAAAGCTTTATCGCAGTCCAACACTTTTTATAATTTGCATGTGAGGCCTAGGCCAATCATCAGGTTGTCACCCCTTTGATGTGAGGCCTAGGCCAATCGTCGGGTTGTCACCCTTCCATGTGAGGCCTAGGCCAGTCGTCAGGTTGTCACCCCTTTCATGGGAGATCTAGGCCAATCGTCAGGTTGTCACCCCCTTCCATATGAAGCCTAGGCCAATCGCCAAGTTTTTACTCCCTTCCTCCATTAATTTCTAATGTCGTCTTTGAAAAAGTCACGTTTGAAAAATGTCATTAATGAAAATTGTACCGATGATGTAACATTTTTGCTGGAACCAAATGAAAAAAAAATGAACATTTAAAAAAGATCTGTTTCATAAAAGAGCTCACTTTCATACAATAGCATGTCAACACGGCAGGTCGCATCAGAACAATGGTGCCACCAGAGTAAGGTACCACATAAGCAGCTTTCCACCTGAACAGAGTTTCAGCAGAGCAGACAAACCCGGAAGAAGTCCATTTTGAAAGTCTGGAGGAGGGGGGGGGGAGGGGGCAACTTTGAGTTTACTCAGTGTGTGACATCAAACCCTAGTGACGCCCAGGCTTAGGTGTGGATCAAATTAGGATGCTGAAACCTAGTCTGGAGGAGGGGGGGGGGAGGGTGCAACTTTGAGTTTACTCAGTGTGTGACATCAAACCCTAGTGACGCCCATGCTTAGGTGTAGATCAAATTAGGATGCTGAAACCCAGTCGGTGAATCCAAACAGGGCGGTCAGAAAGGCAATCTGACCAAGCCCGAACAGGGCGAGACAGGCGTTGTCCAGTTGTCGGGAGGAAAGAGAAATGACGCACATGCGTCTTGTGATGGTGCCATGCTCATGAGCTGGTTGGTCACCTGAAAAATCTTTCAGTGCGCAGCAACAGGCTGTCCCCTGGGAGGTCGCTGTCTTCTTTTTGATAACTTTCTTTTCCTATTAAAAAAAAGTACAACAGTGTAGGTATTAAAACTATGTATTTAGTCATCTATATACAACGTCATATATTTAGTCAGCTTTTTAAAAAGTCATGTACTTAGTCAACTTTATTCATTTTCATGTATTTAGGTAACTTTATACATCTTCATGTATTTAGTCAACTTTATACAAAGCCATGTATTTAGTCCAATATAAGCATCGTCATGTATTTAGTCAACTTTATACAACTTCATAAATTTAGTCAACTATTTACAAAGTCATGTATTTAGTCAACTTTATACACCTCGTGTATTTAGTCAACTTTATACAACGTCATGTATTTATTCTCATTTATACAACGTGACTAACCTATTAATAGAAAGCGAGTAATCTCTCAGGCTACAATATCACGAATTATAGGGCTTGTCATTTAATGGCGGAAATCTATTAATAGAACTGATGTCACCATTACTGATCATCCGGGTACTCAGCGCGGACAAAATATCAACACTTTTCAGTATTACTATGTTAGCGAAGTGTCCCTGAAACTTGTTTACAACTCTATTTTACGAAATATTTTACACATTTTTTTTTTACTTCTGTTTTCTAAAATGCGACTTATTTGCGTGAACGTCATATGTAACAGTAACTCTAGATACAAGGATCGCCCGAACGCTATGCTGAAACACACTATAAGCTGCCATGTTTTAAGCAATATTTGTCCGCGGACCTTCTAAAAATAGTACGCTATGACGTTTTCCGGTCTTAGAAATGACAAAGCCTATTGGCCAGGAACACAAGACGACTAAATGCTAAGATAATCGAGACGCCGTAGACATTTCTTTTTATGTCATTTAAGATGTCACTCATTTGGTTCAGCCCCATTGAACGGTGAAATGTTATTCTGCCAGTATTAACAAATTCCTCCTTGATTGATTTGAGTATGTGCTATTTGATTGCATGCATTGAAAGGTTGAAGAGATTTACATGATAATTCAATGCAGTCATTGCAAGCATATCCTCCTTTATTAGGTTGGTATCTCTTGATGTGCTCCCTAACATAGTGTGTGACACGCTACTGACCTTTTCCTCGCCCTCAAACCTGTTGACTATCCACAAAGAAGCCAATATGGCACACAGACTTTGAAGCATGACTTCCACTAACAGCATGGCCAGGTACGGCATACTGGACAGGCCACGAGGCATGACGTCACTGTAATGTTTTTTTTTAATTTTATAAATGTACACATAATTAAAAATAACAAATCGTTAATAGTAATTTCATTATAAGACAATACTTTCTTATTCCCAATAATAAAAACACCATTGGAGTCTTGGAGTCAATGGAATCCACAGTGTCCTTTGTTGGCGGGATGAAAGCCTTAATAATATGCGTGTTAGTGTCAAAACATATTTGTAACTATTTATTCCCACACGATATATGTCAAGTTTCATAAAAATCAATCAATAAATCTATAAAAAAAAAATACAAAATTAAAAATAAATGTGTATGTATTCCCCATAAAACAGAGATATAGTTCCATATAAATAGCAGTACAAACACAGAGGATACCATCATGTACCCCATTTCTTTACTCTGCCTGATTAAGAATTAGCGAACTTTCAGCATACCGCTAACTTATAACATATAGCCAACTTATAGCATACAGCTAACTCATAGAATACAGCAAACTTATAGCGTACTTAGATAGGCGGAGCCAGACTTAGATAGAGAGAGGGAGACTTGGATCGACACTGCGTGGGAGAGATTTTTCCTATACGAGACATTATATTATAGTGTGTGTGTGTGTAAATTAATATATGTATTTTGAGGAGTGTATCTTTTGCACTAGCAGTAAATAGATACAACTGTTGGTGATTGTTTTGCTTCTGTACTCAAATTTGTATTTGCATAGAGAATTTATCTTTATCATTAAATGAAATATTGTTGTTAGCATCACTGGCTTGGGTACCGTTTTGCTTTGCGTACTGTTTACTAGTTGTTGTTGTTAATTCTACGAGCCAAAACTTAGCACAGATTAAATCTTACAAGCCATAACGGCACATAATAATAACAAACTATTCTTCACTGTCAGTTTAGCACACACTCACCTGATGAAGTTGAGAAAAACTGCAGTGGACGTAAAAATTGCAATGAGGTAGGAAATTTTCTCCCCCGTGTACGCCGGAATGAGGAACACGAGGGGTATGAGAACAGACGTGAGAACCATTGGGAAGATGATCGTTATGACGTAATACGTCGAATGTCGCCGAACTGTAAATGAAAACTTTGGAAAAGTCAACAAATTTTTACTTTCCACCATCGAGTAGCTTCGAGCCAGCAGACTCCATTCTCCACTGATTCTGTAGACATCGTCCAGTGAGAAATCGAAATGCGTCGCTGCTATCGTGTAGTTTTCATTCATTTCGTACAGTCCAAAGCTGCAGTTTTGACTATCGAAAGGATAATGCTCAAATGCAATGTCGCAACGGAAAGACAGCTGCTGGAAGTTCTCGGAATACGTCAATCCATCATCTTGAACCGTAAATGTTTCGGAAATTTCTAGTTTAAGTGAGTCTTGATCTCCAACAAAAACGAAAATTCTTGGACGCCACAATCGTTTTGAATCAATATTAAGTGACCTGATATTCTCAAATTCTTCTCGATTCCAAGAAAGCGTGCTCTGATTCCAGGAAACTTGAAAGAACACTACGAGGCTCATTAGCTATAAAATAAGAGGACAATTCGTAAAATTTTATATGAGTCTTTTAATCATATACTCTCACTACAGCTGTGTTCTTTAACATAAATTAAACAAAACTCAATTTTTTTATGTTGGTCTGACTCTTTTAATTAATGTTTAAATTTTACCGATTTCTAGAATAATCGCGAAATAATGGTAAAATATCCATACAAATTGTATTTAATACTATTATTATCATTTTATTCAACGTGTTTCAAATATCAAGTATTTCAATATGTTTGGAGAAGGAAAAAAAAAAGTGAAAATGATTTTTAAAAGGTAAATTTTGTAAAATGTTCAGGACATCATTTCCAAACCTCTCCGATTTGATCAATGGCCAATACGTCGATGACAAATAGTTTGATGAAAATATTGAACGGTGGTGCAGAGCTTTCATTTGTCCCAGGTGGAATTTTGTGAACAACGACACTTCTGTTGAGAACATCCTTGAGCAGCCTTTCATACGCTTCATGAGACGCACCTGCCGTATCTCTAACTGAACAGCTTAGTAAAACGAATGCATAGAGAAGGCACTGAAAAAAAGATTCAGCTGAAAATGCGATCATTTTCTCAGGCAAGTGTTTCCTCAATGATTTGGCTGACCTATGGTTTCGTCCAAATCTTGTAATGATTAATATTAAAACACCATTAGCTTTATTTTATTTTTTTAACTATGTCGATTTGTGTTGTATCTAGTGGAAGTTAACCAAAGAGTGATGCAGAGATTCATTACAGTTGGCAAAGTTGCTGTAAAAAGCTTTCAGGCAACATTTAGATATTCTGAACATTTTCCCCAGACAGCTTTTAGTATTGATAACTGTGTTTGGTCTCTGTCAACACAACAAATGGGTGAAGATCAGAAATCGTAATCGTGTATTTGATTGTTTCAGTTATTAACCTGTCTGGCACGACCAATGTATACAAAGCTAATTCGTGATAAAATATGAACTAATGAAATGATTCCATGAGAACTGAATGATTATTTGAAATATTTGAGGTGACGCCCCAGCCCTCTCCCGAGTTACGCAACTTGCTTTAGTTAGAATGTCAGAAAAGTTGACAAGAAAAACTAGTCCACGGTTTGCTGGGTTGGTCATGTTTTAAATATGTATGTCTCCGAAAAGTGTACAGTGGATCGTGTGCATCGAAGAGCGTTTTACGCGACGTCGTCAACATTACATTTACACATAAACTAAAGTCACATGCGCTTGAAGAAAATTTTTCATTATTTGTATTATGTATGATTAATTTTCATTATTTGTATTATATATGATTGTTGTCATTGATATTCATAATTTGTATTATACCGGTATATGATTGTTGTCATTGATGTTCATTATTTGTAATATGCATGATTGATGTTCATTATTTGTATTATATTATGATTAATTTTCATTATTTGTGTTACATATGATTGTTGTCATTGATGTTCATTATTTATATTACATATGATGGATATTCATTCTGTTTAGTAAGGCGTCGTTTAAAAAATTCTATTGATATTACACGATGTCATCTATCGAAAGTAACTGATTGAAAATTTAAGATTTTTTGAAATATCATTGAAGAAAGCCGAAGAGGAGATTGTGTATAATTGTGAATTAAAAAAAATAAGTCATTTTTCACGAATTTCATGCTACAAACTATTGACAATAGACCAAACGCATATTTTATAAGTTTGTACATGCAAACTCAAACATATATCTTTTATGAGTTGTTTGCAACTAAAACTAAGTCTTTGGTTTAGGTATGTTGCTATGATTACATGCTGTGGGAATGGCCAAATAATTTGAGGCAGTTGAAACCACAGTTATCGCGAATCAAAATACATTTAATGTAATGTCTGTGTGCAAGATTAAGTAAAGATTTAGTTATTTCATGCAAAAAGCAATGCCGGATTTTGATTTGGTTAAGTTCTAAAAATCGGATCCCCCTGATTATCTACAATGCACAAAAAGAATTGATGACCACAATCGAAACCATAGCAACCAAATGAGATGACTTGCAATAAAAACATTAAATTAAACAATGCAATGCTTTTTTCAGTAGGATATGAAGTGTGCAATGAAATGTTTATAATGAGGTTGTCTTACTCAGCATTCTCATTTTTGAAGGCATTTCCGGAGTTTTACCAGGAACACCATTTCAGATTTTAAAAAAAAAAAAAAAAAAAAAAAAAAAAAACAGGGGTGGGGGGCTGGGAACCAAAACTTGGCCGGCTTGTTGAGTTGTTTCGAACTGGAGGCGCCACAGCACATAGCAATTTAAATAAAACCTGCCCCCTTACCCTACCCAAATGATGTCCCTGATTTCCATGCCCGAAACTGTGGCTTTGATACGGTTGAGGTATGTCCAGATCTGGTAGTAATTATTCAGTTCTACTGGAACTCCCAGCCGACACCACTTACATTTTCTTTCCTGTTCATGGAGCCGCTGTGAACAACGTTAGTTTTCTTAAAAAATGCCCAATCGAGTGTGTTGACGTGTGCCCCGCTACTCCCTGGGCATGTGCTAGTAGTGTACACATAATTTGTCCCAGTGCTCGTATCAAACTTTCTCTTCCACGCTCCAACAGAAACGTGTTTGGCACAGCCATGGGGATGGGACACAACAACGCAAAGTTTGTGAGGATCATTGCTGTCTGAATAACGATTGTTCACAGACACACTCAAGTCCTCAAATTTTATGACCTTCTCGTGGAGGTGCATGAGGAGGTCGAGGTCGTGCGACGCGCATATCAAATCACATTTGTCGGATTCAATGTTTTCCATTGCATCGCCCAAACAAAGCCCACCAAGGGTTGCCCTGGTGCCCCTCTTGTCATCGTCGTATCCAATCTGGCAAGTCGAATTCTCCGCCTCCAGGACATCAAACACCACGTGGACAGCCGTGGCCACTTTGACGGAGCCCCAACTTTGCTTTGGCGTTGGGCTTTGTTTACATTCGTGGCACTTGCATGTCGTTTTGATGAAGTTGACGCTTACGATCCGACCAGAACCCATCCTCTTACATTCGTAACCCTTGTCACTGAACGGGTAGCGCTTGCCGTTGTGATAATACGACGGGGGTCTGTTGGGGCTGGTACATTTGACATGCACTCTTACAGTGATTTCGGCCAAGGTTTTGATCAGTTCAAAGAGTGTGTCGTCTTGATACGGACCAGGGAGGTGGCTCATAGTAAAGTCACCAACTGGTATGAATTCTTTGTGGCCAGGATTTTTCTGACAACTGTTCACGTGCCTGTGGAGGTCTGCTTCAGCTCCGTAACACAACTGGACTTCCGGTTCTTCTGAAATACATAAACAATTTTTTTTTGGATGTAATTATTATTTTAGTTCTTATTATCATAAACAATAATTTGCCTCACTTTCACTCAGCATATTAAAAAGTCAGTTTCGGAGATAAAGATATTATAAAGTCGGACACTGTGAGTGAATAATTTTATGGTGCAGAGAACTAAATTGAATTTTTTTGTCTAATTTAAACGGATTCAAAATAAGATATTTTAAAAGTTAAAGAGCGGAAGGTCTAAACAATATTTGGAAATATCGATGGTGGTCTAAAATATTGTTCAAAGCGAGAGTATTCTAATTTTTAAATAAATGGAAAATATGGATTTGTTTTAAAACAAAATACTTACAAAAAATAAAAATAATGATGATAATAAAGATTATTTAAAAATCACGCTTCATCCCCAAAGGCTCGAAGCGCAGTACATACCACATTAAGGTACAAAATGCAACATTAAAAAACTACATACGAGAATACCCACTCTAAGTCTTTCATACCTTGCAACCATAAAAACACATCTACAAGATATTAGCTAGATAGACAAAATCACTCCAGCAGGTGTTTGCGAAATAGATAAGATAATTAATAGATAAATCAGTTTTGAAAGACTCCAGTGTCTGGCTGTTTCTGAAAGCGATAGGAAGGGTGTTCCAAATTGTTGGGCCTGCAAATGCGAAAGTGCGCCCATCGTAAGTCTCAAGGCGAGCACTTGGCATCGAGAGTTTGCCACTATCAGTTGAGCGGAGTTGTCTACTAATATGAGATACAATTGTATAATAGGTTTCTGAAAGACTGTACATTTTATGTTTTTAGGGTTGACGAACATTTAACCTGGCACATTTTAAATTATTTAATGGTTAAACGCCAAAATATTTTAAATAACTCTAACTTCATAAAAATAGTATAAATCCATTAATTTGTATATTATCTGTCTGAAACAAAATGAAAGGGAGACAGTCTTTTGAAATACGATGGGTTATCAGAAAAGGTAGTTGTGCCCCTTTAAAACTGGTTCTCTTAAAAAACACATTTAAAGCCAAAAACTATAGGGGTTGGCAACCTATTTTCAGTTTGGAACCATTTTGTTCAAATATATTTGCTTAGAGACTATTTTGGGAGCCACAGGCTTGGGCATATTTTTGTTATGTGTCATTGTACCAATAGATAAATAGTAAAATAACGGCACGTGGCTCCGCAGACGTGGTTTGCCTTCCACAGCATTAAATTTAAAAAAAGACAGACCACCGTTATAGCAGAGTTGCTGCTTCGGTAATGTAATATCTCATTTATAAATTTATTTTCCTAAACAGCTTCTTAGTTTGTTGCATTTATTAATTCTAATTAGCTGAAATCTGAAATATTTCATCTATGAAATCATCCACACTTTTTGACGGGGTAAGTACTTGTATAAGATAAACAATTTTATTTGTAAAAAAAAATAAGGAACAACACAGCGCCGAAAGTATTGGTAAATTAATTGACCTTTGCACTTTGCAGCAAGATCGTCTTGTTTCGGAACACCCTGATCCATATCTTGAGAAAGAATCAAGTTTTGTATCTGCGATAAAGAACCTGAAAGATATTAAAAGCCCGTATATTAGTTTAAATATTGATTTGTTATGGTATTGATTGATAGGCTGATGTGAGCGAAATCAACGTTTTTTTAAAAATAATGTTTGTCTCGCAAT